GTGGAACCCACTGTGGATTGTGGTTGACCTACCAGGGATCTCACCCTTAAAGAAGATTGACTCTTTCCCAATAGCTGCCAAGTGCCAATAGCTCCTCGGCTAGGGATAAGAATCCCTGCCCACTTCCTGCCCTCCATGCTGGGATTTTGTCTGGCTTGAACTTGAGCAGGTCTTGTCATGCTGTCACTGTTGCTCTGAGTTCTCATGTGTACCTGCCCTGCTTTCTGGAAAGTACTGTTTCTTTGTAGTTGTCCAGCACCTCTAGCTCTTACAGTCTTTCTGCCCCCTCTTCCAAAAAGTTCCCTGAGCCTTGGGAGAAGGAATGTGATAGAGATGTTCTATTTAGGGCTAAGCATTCTTCAGTCTGTTCTCTGTGTGTTGACTAAGAGTGGGTTTCTGTGATAACTGCCTTCTAAGAAGCATCTCTGCCAAGTGTTGAGAGATGCACTAGTTTTGGGGTATAGCAGTAGTAAGTCATTAAAGGTCATTTTAATACATTAGTCCCAGCACTTGGGAGGCAGAGGCAGGCAGATCTCTGTGAGTTTGAGGCCAGCCTGGTCTACATAGTGAGTTCCAGGCCAGCTGGAGCTACAGGGAGACCCTGTCTCAAAAAGACTAAAAAAGAAAAAGTCATTTTAATACTATGCCCATTTAATAGATTATTAGTAGTAGGTTCTCCCCTATGGCTCATGACCTATCTAACCACAGGTTCTTGGCCTCAGTAATGAAGTCAGATATGGTTCTATCGTGTGGAGTTGGCCACCAACACAGTTTTTTGTTTTGAATCAGTGTCTCCTGTGTCCTAGGTTGACTTTCTACTTGGTACCCAAGGATGACCTTGAACTGCTGAGTCCCTTGCCTCTACCTCTGGAGTGCTAGGATTAGAAGCATGTGCCACCATACCTAGTTTATGCAGTGCTGAGATCACACCCTGAGCTTCATGGATTCTAGGCAAGCCCTTTACCAACTAAGTTACTTCTCCATTCCTGGTTATATTTGTTCATTTTTTTGTGATACTGCAAATTGAACCCAAAACTTTGCACATACTAGGCAAGAGTTGTACCACTGGGTTACTGCAATCCCAACTCACTGTTTTAATTTACATGTATTTAATGAATTAGGTTACATTTCATTTCATTTGAAATAGCTTTGTGTGAAATTGTGTGTGTGTGTGTGTGTGTGTGTGTGTGTGTGTGTGTGTGTATTTTGACAGTCTCAGTATATACCTAGGCTGGCCTGTGGCCTGGAACACACTTTATATCCTACACTGGCTTTGGGCTCCAAATCCTCCTGCCTCTGCCTTGTTGGGATCACAGATATACCCCACCACATCTGTCTGAAACCATTTGTACATACTTCCGCAGCAGATTCTTGGTTGAGGAACCCTTCGCAGGAGTGTGGTAGTGAGGCTAGTCTTGCTGAAAGTAGCCAAGGGAATGTTGTTTAGGCAACTGCTTTTTGTTTTTTTAAGATTATTTATTATGTGAATATATGTGTGCTGTGTGTGTTCAGGTTCCCATGGAGGTCAGAAATGGTTGGTTCCCTGGGAATTGGAGTTACAGTCCATTGTGAGCCACCTGATATGGGTGCTAGGAATCCAACTCAGGTCTTCTGCAAGAGCAGTTGGCAGTCTAATTGCTGAACCATCTTTCCAGCCCTGTTTAGGCAACTCTTAGGAAATTGCCGTGGTGGTTTTCTGCTTCTCTGCTGTCAACATAGGAGGTAGGGGATGGGGGTTTGTGATGAATGTAACAGAGAACTCTAATTCATCCCCAACCCAACTCCATGGTGATAGACCTGTAGAAGGAGAAAGGAGACTGGACAGTGAGCAGAGGAACTGTAGTACAATGAGTTTCTAAATGACATTCTCGAATGTGGGGAGAGGTAAGAAAAGCAGTTTTCAGAATGAAGCTTTGAGATCAGAGTTTACCTTCACTCTTTCCTGGATATCCTGGGAAAGTTGTTTAACCTCTGATCTAGGGTTTCCTTGTTTGTAAAGTAGCATTAACATCTTCCTTGCTAGTTATAATGACAAGTGGTAATTTTCAAAGAGCTCCAAGGAGTGATGTATAGTCTTAACAATAACAAACTGAGTTGGAGAAATTGCTCAGCAGTTAAGATCTTTTACTACTCTTGCAGAGGACCCAGGCTCAGTTCCTAGCACCCACATCACAACCTCCTATAACTCCAGTTTCAGGGGATTTGATGCCCTCTGGCCTCCATGGACATCTGCAAACACTTGGTGAACATAAATTTATGTGGCCACATACATTCACATAAATAAATCTTTTAAATACCCAACAATAGCCAGACATGATAGTACACACCTTTAATCTCAGTACTTGGGAAGCAGAGGTAGGTAAATCTCAGCCTGTTTCAGGTCAGCCTGATCTACACAGCAAATCTAGACCAACCAGTGTTACGTAGTGAGACACTGTCTCAAACAAACAAACAAAACCAACCCCAAAAGCCCAACAATAACAAACTGACCGACTACTCCTGGAAAAGTAAAACAAGGGGTCAAAATTTCACTTGCTTTCTGATAAAGAGATATTGGGGTGGTTATTGGGGGTGGGGAGGTGAGGCATCATCTGCTACAGCCCAGCAGGCCATGAATTCTTTATGTAGCCATGAGTAGTCTTGACCTCCTGTGTCTGCCTCCTGAGTGTTGGGATTACAGGTGTGCATCGCTATGCCCATCTTCATTTCTGGCCTTTGAAGAGAGGATGTTGCCTGGAAAGATTGAAAATACTCCTTTGTGAAGGAGCTGCAGACCCCACATGTGGTGAGCCTTTCCTTTAGAGGGAAGAGAGTTACTTTCTGGAGAAGGAAGGAAGAGGGAGGAGAAGCTGGCACCATCTTCCACCTCCTTAGTGTGTGTGTACATAATACATAATCATGTGCCTTCCTCATTCCATCATTACACCTGTACTGAGGAGAAACTTCTGAGGACAGTATAGTATTCAAATGATGAGAGCCTTAGGTCTAATATTTTTAAGGCCTTCTGAGCCTGAAGGACCTCATTCATGGCTTGGAGTCAAGCCTGGGCAGGCAGGTTTTCATTGTGCTTTACCATGGTGAAGGGGTTCTCAAAGTGGCCTCTCCTAACACTGATGAGCTAGTGTTAAGAAACTCTTAACCTAGGAGTTGAGGGTGTAGCTCCGTGACAGAGTATAACCAGACTGGCAGGGATAAAGATATTTTGAAGCAACACTTTTGTCCAGTATTTTGGCTGTCAGACTACTGAAACAAAGAATCCCAAGAAACTAAAATTCTCCCACAAATATCATCCTGGGAAAAGAAAAGGCCTGGTGTCAGCCAGAGGAGGAATTTGCTTCCTAGAAAAATGTCACACAGTACTGACACTTGTCAGGCTTCCTCACTGAAGAAACTGGAGCCCAAACAGTGATATGATAGGTGGAGTCACACCTTGACTGTAGGCTACTTAGATAGGGGAGCTCTGCATCTCTACTTAAACCTCAGCCTCACTTCAAGACACTGAAGATGGACTTGAAGGAGTCACTGGATCTCTTTGACCTTCTTCCCAGCTTGTTAGGTCACAGGCTGTGACCCCCAAGTCTGGTAACAAGAGCATGTACTTAACATGCTCCAGATCCTAGGTGTGGTGGTGCACACCTTTAATCCCAGCAAGAAGCAGGTGGATCTTTGTGAGATCAAGGCCATCCCGGTTTATCTAGTGAGTGAGTTCCAGGCTACCTGGGACTACAGGGAGACTCTCAAAAACCAAAACAAAAAAGACAGAAGCAGGTACTGCCTGTAATCTAGCACTTAGGAGATGGAGGAAAGATCGGAGAGTTCAAGGTCATCAGTTCGAGGCCAACCTACACTACATTAGTCCCTATCTCTCAACTTTTTTCACCATCCCCTACCCCCAGAGCAAAACAGAACAAGGACAGACTCATTTTACATGAATTCATTTCTTGTGCACACACAGTGAGCCATGATGCCCATGTGTTGGTCAATGAACAACTTTTGGAAGTTGGCTCTCCTTCCACAGGAATACAGGGATCAAACAGGCTTGCACAGCAAGTACTTTTTGCTTACAGAGTCATCTTGCCGGCCCTAACTTTGATTTCTTTTTTTTTTTTTTTTTTTAATTTTTTGTTTATGGGTTTATTGCCTGTTTGTAGGTCAATATACCCTTATCGTGCAATGCCCATGGAGGTCAGAAGAGGCAGTTCGATCCCCTGGGACTGGAGTTACAGACAGTTGTTAGCTGCCATGTGGGTGCTGGGATTTGAACCAGTGCTCTTAACCACTGAGCCATCTCTCCAGCCCCTGATTTTTTTCTTTTCTTTTTTTTTAAATATTTTATGTGTATGAGTGTATTGCCTGCATGTAAGTAAGTGTACCCATGTCGTGCAATGCCTGTGGAGGACCGCAGAAGCCATTGGATCCCCTGGAACTGGAGTTACAGACAGTGGTTAGCTGCCATGTGGGTGCTGGGATTTGAACCTGGGTCTTCTGCAAGAACCAGTGCTCTTAACCACTGAGCCATCTCTCCAGCCCCTGATTTTTTTCTTTTCTTTTTTTTTAAATATTTTATGTGTATGAGTGTATTGCCTGCATGTAAGTAAGTGTACCCATGTCATGCAATGCCTGTGGAGGACAGAAGAGGCCATTGGATCCCCTGGAACTGGAGTTACAGACAGTTGTTAGCTGCCATGTGAGGGCTGGGATTCGAACCTGGGTCTTCTGCAAGAACAACCAGTGTTCTTAACCACTGAGCCATCCCTCCAGCCTGATTTCTTTTTCTTTTTCTTTTTTTTTAATCTTTATTTTATGTGTATGAGTGTGCCTGCATGTATATAAGCACACCCATGTCATTCAATGCCTGCAGAGGGCATCGGATCCTCTGGAACTGGACTTACTGGGATGCAAACCTAGGTCCTCTCCAAGAGCAGCCAGTGCTCTTAACCGCTGAGCCATCTCTCCAGCCCCCCAACTTTGATTTCTAAAGAAGCCTTGTATGTTTGCAGATCAGGGAGCAGAGAAACATGAAGGGATGGGCCAGTCATCTGGGATCACTGACCAAGAGAAGGAGCTGTCTACCAGTGCTTTCCAGGCGTTCACAGTAAGAAATGGCTTCTCTCTTCATCTGATCAAATCACATAGGCATCTTTTCAAAACAGATTTGAATTTTATTCTGTGATGATTCATGAATTTAGTGAGAAGTAGGTTTTGTTTTGTTTAAGTATGATGAAAAGAATGAAAGTGCTTTGCACTATACCCAAATTTTTCTTTTCATAAACATTTTAACTCCCACACTGTTGTTTTTGAGTTTTTTAAATTTAGATTTGTAAATGTATGAGTCAGTCTCTCCATTTCCCTAATCTGTTCAATTCTTGTCTTGAATGTACTTTTAAAGTGTAACATCAAATGTTTGTTGCCAGAATTACAATTTTTCTGACATTAAACAATATGAAAAACTTACCTGATTATGTACATATACATACATTTGAAATATACACATAAGCAGAATTTGGTTTGCATTCAAACTATATTTACTGGAATTTGGAAATTTGGAGTAATTATATTCCCTTTCTTGACTAACCTCAGCTGTTTATTACCCTGCTAGCAATGTATGCACATTATATATCTATAATGTCTGCACATGTGTGTTATTGATATATCTGTTGATGTGAGTTTGAGTTTTAGGAAGTAAACACCCATAGGGTCTTAATTGACAGATTGTTTCATCTAGTGCTTTCATTTAGAATGTTAAGGGGAGCTCTATCTTTAAAAAAATTTTTAAGTAAAGATGAATAAAATATATTTGAAAAAAATGTATTGTTACTGAAGCCAATATGTAATTTTATGTATATATATATATATGTAGTTTTTGTTTGTTTGTTTTTTAGTCTGGAAATTATGATGCCTGTCTGCAACACCTTGCCTGTCTCCAAGATATAAACAAAGATGATTATAAAATAATTTTGAATACAGCAGTAGCTGAGTTTTTTAAAAGTAATCAAACAACAACAGATAATTTGAGACAAACACTTAACCAGCTGAAGAATCAGGTGATAAATGAATTTAACTGTAAAAAATTATTGTGTTAATTTGTGAAATACAAAGAATTAAGGAAAATATATGTGATTTCTTATCTGATATTGATGGCAGTATTTCTAATGTTTCTGAAGTATTTGTTGATACTAATTTTGTTTGAATGCAGTTATTAGTCCAGTCCCAACACTGGGAGGCAGAGACAGGTAAGATGGATCCCTGAAGCTCATGGCTAGCCAATCTAGCCTGTTTAGCAACCCCAAGGCCAATGAAAAAACTTAAAAAATAAGGTGGAGGGGGCTGGAGAGAGAGCTCAGCAGTTAAGAGCACTGGCTGTTCTTGTAGAGAACCCAGGTTTGTGCCCAGCACCCAAGTAGCAACTAGCAAACATTCTTAACTCCAGTTCCATGGATCCAACACCCTCTTCTGGCCTTTATGGGCACATGGGTATATTCATATACATACAGACAATTCAGTTATGCACATAAAATAAAAATTAAAAAATCCAAAAAATTTTAAAGGGGAAAAAAATGAAAAAGCCATAGAGCTCAAGATACCTGATGTTGACCTCTGGCTTTCTTCACATGAGCATACATAAGCAAGTTTACCCTCTCACCAGACATGCACAAAAAAATTAAATAAGTAAAAATAAATATAAGAAGAGTTGCAGCTGGGTGTGGTAGTGCATGCCCTTAATCCCAGCACTCAGGAGGCAGGATCTCTGTGAGTTTGAGGCCAGCCTGGCCTATATAGCAAGTTCAAAAGTTGCCTTTCTTGGAAATTGAGTTTTTTCTGCTTAAAGATGCTATTTTTTAAAATTTGAAGATTGTGACTCGATAAGAAAATATTATGAAGAGCTTTCAAACTCTTGAACTGTTGGTCAGCCTTGACCTTTCAGAGTATTTGAATACCCCATCCATGTCAAGCTCACCATATGGATGACTGAAGTCTGAAGAAGCTTTAGCTTCCTTGCCATTAACTACCACACTAAGGTTGTTAAATACATACTTATCAAAATCCCACAGCATGATTTGGAGAAATGCCAGTCTTAGTATTAATCACATAACTTTGCAAAATAATTTATCACAATTTTTGTAATGTGAAAAAACACTGGCTTTAGAATTCCATTTCCATTAGTTATATGTAATTATAGAAAGGCATAGCTAGGCATGGTAGTACACACCTTAGTCCCAGCGCTGCGGGGCAGAGGCAGGTGGCTCTCTATGAGTTCAACCCAGCCTGCTCTACAAAATGAGTTTCTGGTCAGCCAGAGCTGCATAGTGAAATCTTGTCTCCCAAGGCGGGGGGGTGGGGGGGGGTGGCAAACCTAGTCTGTAATTCTAGCACTTGGAAGACTGAGAAAAAGTGGATTGCTATAAGATTGAGGTCAACCTGAAGTACAGAATAAGACCCTATTTCACTTTTTTTTTTTTTTCCTGGTCTTTTTGAGACAGGGTCTCCCTATAGCCCCAGCTGGCCTGGAACTTACTATGTAGACTAGGCTGGCCTCATTCTCACAGAAATCTACCTGCCTCTGCCTTCCAAGTGCTGGGATTAAAGGCATATGCAACTGCGCCTATGAGAAAAATTTTAAAATATTTATTTCAGTTTTATGTGTTTGAGTGTGTTGCCTGCATGTATGTAAGTGCACTCGTGTTGTGCAGTCCCTGTGGAGGTCAGAGAGGGCATTAGATCCCCTGGAACTGGAGTTGTACAGTTGTTAATTACTATAATGGTGCTGGGAACTGAACCTGGGGTCTTCTGCAAGAGAAGCCAGTTGCTCTTAACTGGTCACGAGCCCCCAGAAATTCAGAAAATATCAGGCTAGTGAGATGGGTCAGAGGGTAGAGGCACTTGATACACAAGCCTGACAACTTGAGTTTCATCTCCAAAACACAGGTAAAGTGGAAGGACAGAGCAAATTCCACAAAGTTGACTTCTACATATGTACTGTGGCACAGATCCTCACCATCATGCACACACATAATAATAAATTAAGAGGAAAAAAATGTCATTAGCTTTAAAATACAAGATATTATGACTTTTCTTTTGATGTTTGGTGTAGATTTTAGTAAATTCTAGTAAAGCCCATAAAAGCTTATTCTAACCATCAGGTAGGATATAGTATATTTTTTGTTTATTATTCTTAAAAATTATATTTTAGCTGGGCGTGGTGGTGCACACTTTTAATCCCAGCACTGGGTGGCAGAGGCTGGCATATCTCTGTGTTCAAGGGAACTACAGGAAGACCTTGTCTCAAAAAGACAAAAAAAAAATTTTACTAGCCAGGTGTGGTTGAGCACACCTGTAGTCCCAGTCCTTGGGAGGTAGAGACAGGTGAATTTCTTTGATTTTTGAGGCCAACCTGGTCTACATACCGAGTTCCAGGCTAGCCTGGGCTATATATATAGTAAGACCCTGTTTCCCAAAAAAAGAAATTCTGTTTTATTTTGGGGCTAAACCCTTGAAAGTATACTTCTAGTCATATGGCCTCAGACAGCATAATTGAAATTTCTGGATTCCTTATTTGTAAAATGAATATAGTCTGGAGATCTGGAGAGGTTTTGATGTAGCAAGCCTGGTACCTAGTGGTTAGTTACTATTTTCTGTTTGTTTTTTAAGATAGAGTCTCCCTGTGTAGCCTATGCTAGTCTTGAACTCCTTATGTAGCTCAGGCTGACCATGAAATTGAAATCCTGCCTCAGCTTCCCAAGCCTGTTTCGTACCCCATTTCACTATTCTTTCTAATATTTAAATTTTATATTGGTTTTTATAATTATGCATATTGCCTGACATTTTTATGCAAAAGGTCATGGCTTCCTAAGACTCCTGAGCCTACCATATGGGAAGCCCACTCAAGAAGCCATGTTAACAGCTAAGACTGAAGATGTCTTCATAAGTAGCAAGAAAGAGAACTGTGCTACATACTTAGTAAAGTTCTGTCAGAATGTTTTATTTGGCAAAAATTTAATGTGTATGAGGCAAATGGATGAAATATTTGAAAATAATTAAAATCTACAGGTACTTACTATTGGAAGTGTTGAAGTATCAGAATATGTTAGAGTGGGGCGTGGTAGTACAACATCTGTAATTCCAGCTACATTGAGATTGGCCTAGACCTCCCTCATTGTGTAGCCTTGGCTGGCCTTGAACTTGTGACTATCCTCCTGTCTCAGCCTCCTAAGTGCTGGGATTATAAGGGTGTGCCACATGCCCAGCTGAATTCTTTCACTCTTGCTGTTTATTTCCACACTGTTGTTAGAGCATGTTCTGCCTTGACTGTTTTATAGGTCCACTCGGCTGTTGAAGAAATGGATGGATTAGATGATGTTGAAAACAGCATGTTGTATTATAATCAAGCAGTTATTCTTTATCATCTGCGGCAGTATACAGAGGCAATATCTGTTGGTGAAAAGCTTTATCAGTTCATAGAACCTTTCGGTATGTTGTCTGTCCAGTCAACAATCACCTCATCCTCTCATACTTGGAGAATTCTCTAGTACTTCTACCTAGATGACCTAGATCAGATTACATATCAATATTTAAAGGGAAAAAAGGAGAAGATGGGAGAGAGAGCTTTTGGTAAAGTGCTTGCCTTACAAGCATAAGGGACTGAGTTTGAGCCCTAGAGTCCACATTTAAAAAAAGGTGGGTGTGGTAGCACATGCTTGTAATCAAGACCAAAAATAAAGAAAATAAAGCTGTTTCAGCTTTTCTAAATTTGTTTTTAGAATAAATAAAACTTATATGACAGTTTAGTCCCAGCATTTGGGAGGCAGAGGTAAGCATATCTCTTTGAGTTCAAGGCCAGCCTGGTCTCCATAGCCAGTGCCAGGGCTACATATAGTGAGACCCTGTCTCAAAACCACTACCACCATAACAAAAAACTGGGGCTGGGGAGATGGCTCATAGGTTAAGAGCACTGACTGCTCTTCCAGAGGACCAGGGTTTGAGTCCCAGCACCCACACAGTGCTTAATAACTGCCAGTAACTCTAGTTCCAATGATTCAGAAACCCTCTTCTGGCCTCTGCAGCTTTGCACACACATGTTGAACTTACATACATTCAGGAAAAATATTCATACACATAAAATAAATAATTTTTTTAAAAATTTAAGCCCTTAGGCTGGGTGTGGTGGTGGTACACACCTGTAGTCCCAGCACCTAGGAGGCAGAGGCAGGCAGATCGCTGTGAGTTCAAGGCCAGCCTGGTCTACATAGTGAGTTCCAGGCCAGCAGGGGCTACAGTGAGACCCTGTTTCAAAAAGACCAAAAAAAATTAAGCCCTTATATGACATTTAGTGAAATCCAGTTTCTTTTAGCACTCCTTCCCACCTAAGTTTTGAAGGTATCCCACATGGTGTCGCAGAGTAGCAGGAAGATTAGGTGTTCAAGGTCATCCTCAGCTACATACCAAATTCCAGATCAGCCTGGGTTACATGAAATTCTAGCAGAAAAAGGTATTCTGTGATATTATTCCTGGGGAGATACGAACAAGCATCTACTCACCCCAAGTAGGGAAGCAGTTACAGACCAAAGTAGGAATACCACCAAAGTCCAACTTGGTAAACCAGTAAGTTTTATTGGGGTTACTTGCAACAGCAGAAGTTACTCAAAGACAACTGCCTCACCAAGGCCCACCCCAACTGATAGCTCACAAAAGAACCTGGAGCATACCTAAACACAATCCGCAGCTATCTCAATACTTTGGGGAGTGTCTTTTCCAGGCAGCTCATTTGGTCTGAGCGTCTTCTAAGTACCTTGACTAGTGTCTGCCTCTTCCAGGCAACTAGCCTTCTCTGAGAGTCTCAGGAGTCCTTACTGCTTGTATACTTGGAGAAGGAGGGGTTTAGAGTATGTGATCAGTTTCAGGGACTCTATAAAGCCTTTGAGTTATTTACTTCCAGAGATCAAGGAGTTTGTCTTCAGAGTGGAATGTTTTTACCTTCCTTTAGAATATTCTGTGTTTTAAGAAACTTACCTCCAAGATGGAAGGTTTTATCTTGGAGGAAATTGCTCTACAACATAGAGACAGGAGAAAAAGAAGAAAGGAGGGAAGGAAAGAAAGGAGAAAGACTGTTTTCTCCTTGCTATTAGAGCACTTTGGTGAACTGAATTCTTTCTTCCTGCACTTAAAGCATTTTAAAATGTTAGAGGCCAGTGCAGTATCTCGTTATCTGTTTTCTAACTGAAATTTCTGTGCACAGTCATAGAGTACCTGATACAGAATTGTGTTTGCTTGCTATTTTCGGCCTTGGATAGGAGTAGTGAGAAAAGCAAGGGCAGGGAAGCAGGAACCGGCAGATAATAGAGGGATGAGTGGTTAGAGAGCGCTGCTTTCCTGCCCATAAGCAGACAGGGTTCCTGCCTGTTCAAGTCTAGGCATTAATGGGACTTCTGATTAATGAACACCTGTTTTCTGGCGTTCAGGTGTTGGCATGTGTTGATGCCTCTGTGACACTTGGGGAGAGAATTACGTAGGGATCTCCTTTGCTGACAGCTGGTTGAGCAGCTGCTGTCTATGACTCCAGGGAGCCCTTCTGAGCTGCTTTTCTCTTTCTCTCGATCCTAATGACTTGGTGACTGACTAGACAGGAGATGGGCAGGGATAGAAGTTTGTACGAATAATGACAGGTCCTTCCATGCACATTTATGTGCTTGGTAGCATTGGCAGTGCTTTTAGAATTCCTAAGCTGTTCACAAAATCCTATAAATATGTACTGTGGCTGATAGAATATAGAAATCAGTATCATCATTTTTCTTTCATTTTTCTTTTTAAAAATTATACTTATTTTTCTTTTTAACTACTGGGGTTTTTTGTCTCTCTCTTTTTTTTTTAGGATTTTACCTTTTAGAGAAGTTTCAGGTTCTTAGCAAAATTGAGGGGAAAACACGGCTGTTTCCTGTTGCAGTCCCTCACCCACAATCAGAACCTCCCCCATTACACTACCTCCTATTGCTAAGTGCACCAGTGTGCATGTCCACACCTACACATCACAGTCACACAGAAACTAACTCTTACCTTAGGATTTATTCCTGATGCAAATTCTGTGAATTGGACAATGTACCCATTGTAGTGTCATACAGAAGACAGCCACTATTCTAGAATGCTGTTTTCTGGTTAACTTCCCTCCTTTCTCCACAATTACTGATTTTTTTTTTTTTAATGTCTCTCTAGTTTTACTTTTTCCAGATCATGAAATTTGGAGTCCTCATTATGCATACTCTCATACAACATGTATTAATTGGGCACACAGGTCAATACTGTTGGCCAGACACTGTTTGGGGGTATGTGTTACAGTTAACTAGAGGAAATCTTTGCCCTTGTTACTCATATTGGAGAGAGAGAGAAACACTATCTATTGTGAAGTAGTTGAATGCAGTGAAGTTATGCTAAAATCAGCTAAGGGCATAGGGATGAACTTGGGACATTACTTTTAGATCAATGAATCTGTGTTTGAAAAGAACTTTGAATAAAGGAAGGGAGTGGGTCTTGTGGTTGTAGGATGCCTTCCTACTAGGGCTTATCAGATATATAAAGCACCTGAGGTGGCCAGCAGTGCTGAGAACAGCAGCTTCGTCTTTGTGGAGCTGGATGGGGAGACTGTGGAAACAAAATTGGAAGTAAGGGGGGGCGCAGAGCAGATAGAGAACTGTAGCTTAGGTCGCAATTAGGTCTCAGATGTGCTGAAAAACTCTTTGGTTATAAATGGATTGCACTCTTTAATGGCTTTTGGAATTTTCTGTTCTAGACTGTAACTGCTGCTTTTTAGACCTGCTTTTCTCTTGTATTTTTCCTTTCATCATCTTTTGAAAGCGAAATAAATAAGATGATTTTATGTAACAATGTTCCCTGCATTTTCCTGTTGGCAGCCTCAGTTTGCTCATATTCCACACTGTTTTTGCTCCCCCATTATATTGTTTCTTTTCCATCTCTGTATCCTAGAGGAGTTCTGTTTCATAAAACATAAGCCTTTTTAGAGTTATTCAGAAGCGAGAGATCCTCAAGTAGGTAAAATAGTCTACCATTTTACAGGTCAGGCAGCTAAAATCTAAAGTTAAGTGATCTGGATTGGTGAGATGGCTGAGTGGGTAAAGGTATTTGTTCATGAGCCTTTGAGACCAGAGTTCTTCCAGATTCCCCAAGGTAACAGAAAAAAAAACTGATTCTCAAGAATTGTCCTTTGGGAGCTGGAGAGGTAGTTCAGTGGTTAAGAGCACTGGGTAGGGCTGGAGAGATTGCTCAGTGGTTAGGAACACTGGTTGTCCTTGCAGAAGACCCAGGTTTAAATCCCAGCACCTACATGGCAACTAACAACTGTCCTTAACTCCAGTCCCAGGGGATCGACAGCCTCTTTTGTCTTCCTCGGGCATTGCACAACACGGGTGCACTTACCTACATGCAGGCAATACACGCATACATACACATAAAAAAATAAATAAAATTGGGAAAAAAAGAGCACTAGGTGCTCTTGCAGAGAGCCTGGGCTTGGTTCCCAGCACCCACATAGTGGCTAATAACCATCCATAACTCTAGTTCCAGGGGATCTGACACCCTTTCCTGGTCTCTATGAGCATTGTCCAAACAGTTACACTAACATGTGTGGGCAAAATAGACACAAACAAAATGAAACAAAAATTATTTTTTGTTTATTTTGTTTTGTTCGTTTGTTGAGACAGGGTCTCCCTGTAGCCCCAGCTGACCTGGAACTCACCATGTAGACAAGGCTGGACAAACATTCTTTTTTTTTTTTTTTTTTTTTGGTTTTTTTTTGACAGATTTGCCACGTAGGCAAAGCTGGCCTGGAACTCACTATACCAGGCTGGCCTCGAACTCACAGACATCCACCTGCCTCTGCCTCCCAAGTGGTGGGATTAAAGGCATGTACCACCACACCCGGTCCTACAAACATTCTTTTTTTAAAAAAAAGAATTGTCCTTTCACCTTCATAAACATGCCATTGTGTATATGTGCTTGCGTGTGCACACACACAATAAAAATTTGAGGTTAGGTAATATACAAAGACCACAGTGTACTGATAAGTACACTGTGGTAGTAGTGGAGTAAGTAATTGAGGCTTCTTTCCACAGAAGTGAACATTTCCCATTACACAGGCTGGTGTTTAGTAAATTTTCTACGTAGGATTGGTCACTGAATCCCCAGAAGAAGCCTTGAGACCCCTGATAGAATAACGGGAATGCTTGATAGCAAGCTAGTTCTATTTAGGTGAAGGTGTATTTTTATTTATGTGCATTTATTTAAGTGAAGGTGTAAGTTTTGTTTGGCAGAGCTCTGCGTCCTGTTTTGGGGGATAATCTGAGATGTATACTTGACCTTGGATTCTAACTTTTCCTGTTTGTTTGTTTGTTTGTTTGTTTGTTTTGCCAGAAGAAAAATTTGCCCAGGCAGTGTGTTTTCTGCTTGTAGACCTGTATATATTAACCTATCAAGCTGAGAAAGCTTTGCATCTTCTTGCTGTCCTAGAAAAAATGATTTCACAGGGTAACAATAATAAAAATGGGAAGAATGAGGTGAGTGTTCCCAGCTAATCAGACTAATATTTAAAACTATGATTCTTATTGTCATATCACATAATATCTTAACAACTTTACTGAGGTATAATTCATAGAAACTTTTCACAGTATTTGTCCAATCTAATAAACTACCTTTTAAAAACTTTCTGTTGAGCTGGAGAGATGGCTCTACATTTAAGAGCACTTGTTGATGTTCTTCCAGAGGACTGCAGTTCAGTTCTCAGCAACCACTTTGGGTGGCTCACAACCAATGCCTCTGGTGTCTGTGGGCACCTGTACACATGTGCACACACTCCTGCACACATATACACATAATTTGAAATTTTTTAAAAAATCTCAAAAGCAAAAAACTTAACCATTTTCATGTTTAAGGGTTTTCAACCTAACAAGTATCTATAAGAGATTTCAGTCGAGGTGTGGTGGTGTACACCTTTAATCCCAACACTTGGGAGGCAGAGGCATCTGGACCTCTGAGTTTAAGGCTGGCCTGGTCTACAGAGTGAGTTCCAGGCTAACCGGGGCTAGAGGGAGACCTTGTCTCAAAAAGACCAAAAAAAGAAAGAGATTTCAGGATTATCCCTGAGCATTGCGTTGTAAAATATTTCACTTTTTCATATTTGGTAGCTGTAGTATTTGGTAAAATACAATTTAGTCAGTAGACATATATGTGCTGTGGAAGGTTCTAATATGACAAAATCGAAACACTGTGGTCCTTTTACCCTGGGTCCTTTGCTGAGAAGGGATGGATGGAGTAAAGTGAGCTCATGGATAGAAAGGAAGGAAATCAGGGATTGTTTCCAGGAGTTTGAGTGTTTGAGCTCAATATTCAAATAGTCTGACAAGTAAAAAACAGGAGGGATAGAGTAGGATAGCAATCATGGCAGGGAAGACAGCACAAAGGGATACATGGCAGGCTGGGAAGTATCTGGTGAAATGAACAGTGAGAAGTATGGAGAGTGGCAGGGCTGAGGTTGGTGGAGGGAATGTGGGTCAGAGCATGAGGAAGATGGAAGATGGAATGCTTCTTTAGGAAGAAGGCAGGGTATATAGTGGGCTTTAGAAAGAGGTCTGAGTGATACCTATGCTTTTTAAGCAGACCCATCATTATGCTCATCTGTGAACTCTCAGTTAGGTTCCCATTAGGCACTCCGGGCTACTGACACTAGGAGTGAGCCCTGGTTTCTCCAGTTTAAAAATGATCTATAGGTACTTATATTAGCTCACTTGGAAATCAGTTATGGTCACAGATATTTGATTAACTTTATTTCACCATTGTACAGACTGGCAGTAATACCAACAAAGATGGATCTAATCATAAAGCTGAGAGTGGAGCTCTAATAGAAGCTGCAAAATCAAAGATACACCAGGTAGTGTTTGTCTCAAATGGTGGTTCTTTGTCACTGATGTTTACTTGTTAGTGCAAATAATGAAGTGATAGGAAATCAGTGAAGCACTCTAATTCAAAGCATGTATTTATCTGGGTTTAAAGAACTGTGGTTTAGCAGTACAGTTACCCTCTGAATATGTTTTGCTTAAAATACACACAGTGTCATTCTTTAAGTTCCTGTATAAAAATTTGAGATAGTTATCCTTAACTGGAAAGCAAAACTTTAGTGTGTATAAATGAGCCATCCTTCTTACATGCTAATATTTTTCCTTTACAGTACAAAGTAAGAGCTTATATCCAAATGAAGTCCCTGAAAGCATGCAAAAGGGAGATCAAGTCAGTCATGAACACAACTGGAAATGTAAGTTCCTTCTGGACTTTTCTCTCCTTCAGTTTCTGACTTTATTTAGACTGAGTATTTGTCAGTTTCAGCTTAAATATAACAATTGAGCTGGGGAGTATAGCTAAGTAGTGGAGCATTTCCCTAGCATGAACAAAACACACACACACACACACACACACACACACACAAGAATGGTGACAAGAGTTTCTGCTTTGTAGCCAGTGAGATTGCTCAGCTGGGCAAGGTGTTTGCCATGCAAACCTGGCAACCTTGAGTTTGGTCCCAGAACTTACATAATGGTGGAAGGAAAGAATCACTCCACAGAGTTGATCCTCTGATCTCAACACACAAATGCCACATCATGTACACACACACACACACGCACGCACGTATGAATAATGAGTAAAATTTTAAAAGAAAAGGTTTCCACTTTGGTTTGTTGTTATTTCGGTTCTGGGGTGCTGGGGATTGAACCCAGGGCCTAACACATGCTATGCAAGCACTCTGCCACTGTGCTACTTCTCAGCCCAAGCTTCTACTCTGTATGTAGTTATTTATTTATTTATTTATTTTTGTCGTTTTGAGACAAGGTCTCCGTGTAGTCCCCAGCTTTGTAGACCAGGCTGGCCTTGAACTCACAGAGATCCGCCTGCCTCTGCCTCCCTAGTGCTGGGATTAAAGATGTGCCACCACACTCGGCATATGACCATTTGACCTGGTGTGGTGGTGCACACTAATCCCAGCATTCAGGAGGCAGAAGCTTGTGCATCTCTATGAGTTTGAGGGCAGTCTGGTCTACATGGAGAGTTCCAGACCAGCCAGTGCTACATGATGTAACCCTGTCTCAGAAAAAAACAACAAGCAGACAAAAATTCATTTTAAATAGCTAGGTAACTTCCTAGTACTCTATGAGTAGTTTATCACAATTCACCTAAAACTTTGGCTGATATTAGGCATTTATGTTATTTTTGAATGTTTCAGCTTTATCCTCAAAATATGCCTTTAATACTAGCACTCAGGAGGCAAAGGCAGGCAGAGCTCTGAGTTCAAGACCAATCTAGTCTACATAGTGAATTCCAGGCCAGCAGGGGCTGCAGGGAGACCCTGACTCAAAAAGATTAAAAAAAAAAAAAGGGGTGTGTGTGTGTGTGTGTGTGTGTGTGTGTGTGTATGCGCATTGAAGATTTAGCAGTCAAATTATAGCTAAAACCTGGGGCCAGCAGGATGGTTCAGTAGGTAAAGGCACTTACCATGAAGCCTGATGACCTGGGTTTAATCCCCTAATCCCTAGAACCCATCTTATGGAAGGAGAGAACCAACTCCTGCATTATCCCATAACACATTTCGAATCATGGTATGCGCATACCCCCCTAAACACACTCACATTCACACACACACACACACACAGTAAATAAACAAATAAAGGATAGAAATCCTGAGGAGGTGATGTTAGAAGCTTCAGGCTGGATCCTTATTAGCCCCTGAGTTGTTTCTTCAGCAATTTTTTTTTTTTTTTTTTTTTTTTTTGGTCTTTTTGAGACAGGGTCTCCCTGTAGCCCCAGCTCTCCTGGAACTCACTATGTAGACCAGGCTGGCCTTGAAGTCATAGAGATCCGCCTGCCTCTGCCTCCTGAGTGCTGGGATTAAAGGGGCGCACCACCACACCCAGCTCTTTTTTTGTAGTGAACAATTAATCTATAAGAGAGAGAAGCCAAAACAGGGAGGTGATCATTTATCAAACCTTATGCCTTAAAGGAATCTATAGTCACAGAGGACAGATGAGTAAAAATAGGTAATTGGCTGGAGAGTTGGCTCAGTGATTAAGAGCACTTGATGTGCAATCATGAGAACTAGAGTTCAGACCATGGAACAAGCTAAGCATCCCATACGTGCCTATAACCCTAGCTCTGAGGACAGGAAGGAAGCAGGAAGCTCTCTGGAGCTTGCTCACTTCCGATATAGCCTGGAAAACATAAGCTTCAGGCTCAAGAAGAGACCCTGCCTCAAAGGAATGGACAGAGAGATAGAGGATACCCAGTGCCCTCTTCTGGTCTCTGCATACATGCAAATAATATTTTTATTATTTTTATTTTTTAATTATTTTTATTTTATGTATATGAGTATTATGCATATAAGTGCATCAGTGTTGTGCAGTGCCCACAGAGGACAGAAGAGGGCGTCAGATCCCCTGGAACTGGAGTTACAGACCATTGTTAGCTGCCATATGGGTGCTTGGATTCTTCTGCAAGAACAGCTAGTGCTCTTAACTGCTGAGCCATCACTCCAGCCCCACATGCACATAAATAAAACTTGGTTTTAGAAATTGGTAATTACCCAGATCTCTGCATGATGTTTTACTTTTTAGAGAATTTTTTAAAAATATTTAGACACAGTCTCACTATTTAGTTCTGGTTGGCCTAAAACTTGCTGTGTAGACCAGGCAGGCTTTGAACTCACAGAGATCTGCCTGCCTCTGTCTCCCAAATACTGGGTTTAAAGGTGTGCACCAGTTGCACTCTAAATTAGTATTTTCTGGTGAAGCATCTTCAGGTTGAGAATTCTTAAGAGGAATGAAGGTGATCTGCAATCCAAAACATGAATTTGGGAATAGAAAGAATAGTGCCTGCAAAAAAACTTTTGTTTGATAAATTCTCCCATTCATATGGTGACACTGTTTTTGCTTTTTGTTTTTGTTTTTTCCTACTTGGAAAAATGGTAATTTGGATCCTAATGAAAAATGTGCTTGTGTCCTAAGAAATAAGAAAGGCTGGGGATAGCTCAATTGTAGAGCACTTGCCTAACACACAGTCGTCCTTAGGGTCAGTCTCAAGCATGCACACAAAGAGGATACAATTTTAGCACTCAGAAGGTAGAGGCAGGAGGATCAGGAATTCAGGACCAGCTTGGGTTATAATGAAACATTGTTTTAAAAGACCCAAAAGAAAAATACATATATAAATAAAAAATTAGGTATGGTGGCTCAAGCAGGAGAATTGGGAATTCAAGAACAGTGTGAATTACATGAGACCTTTTTTTTTTAACATTTTTATTATTTTTATTTTATGTGTATGAGTGTATTACCAGCATGTTTGTAAGTGCAACCATGTCATGCAGTGCCCATAGAGGTCAGAAGAGGGCGTTGGATCCCCTGGAACTGGAGTTACAGATGGTTGTTAGTGTTAGTGAGTTGTGAGTGCTGGGAACCAAACCCAGGTCCTCTTCAGTGCTATTTCTTTGTTTTTGTTTTTGTTTTTATCTTTTTTAGCCTCAGTTGTCCTGGAACTCACTATGTAGACCAGGCTGGCCTTGAAGTCACAGAGATCTGCCTGCCTCTGCCTCCCGAGTGCTGGGATTAAAGGCATGCACCACCATGCTAGGGAAGCAATCAGTGCTCTTAACCACTCAGCCATCTCTCCAGTCCCCAGGACCTTTTTTTTTTTTTTTTTGAATTAGGCTGGAGAGATGGAGAGATGGCTCAGTAGTTAAGAGTACATATTACTGTTGCAAAGGACCCACCACCCGGCACCCATGTCCAGTGGCTCATAACTGCTCCAGCTCCAGAGAATCTGACATCTACTTTTCGTTTCTACAGACACTTGCACTAATATATTCACACACAGATGTACACTTACAATTTTTGAAAAAAAAAATTTTTTTTTTTTTTGTCTTTTTGAGACAGGGTCTCCCTGTAGCCCCAGCTGTCCTGGAACTCACTATGTAGACCAGGCTGGCCTTGAACCCACAGAGATCCGCCAGCCTCTGCCTCCCGAGTGCTGGGAGTAAAGGCATGCGCCACCATGCCCAGCGAAAAATAATTTTTTTAAGCAGAAAAAAAGCTAAGGAAGATCACCAATTTTCTAATAACCATTAAAACTAAAGTGCTCTTGGGAGGCAGAAGCAGTCAGATCTCTGTGAGTTCAAAGCCAGCCTGGTCTACAAAGTAAGTTCCAGGCCAGCTTAGGCTACAGGGAGAGACCCTGTCTCAAAAAAAAAGGAAAAAAAAAAAACTTAAAGTGCTAGTTTTTGCTGTTTAGTTGTTTTGCAGTTAAGCCAAGCACAATCACCTGTGCCTGTATTGCTAGGTATGCAAGAGGCCAAGGCAGTAGATCATTTGAACATAGGTCAGGCTGGGCACAGGGAAAGTCAGTGGATACTTTTTAGGCTGTATTCTTATATGTGCAGTGCATGTTGTTCTAATTTTTTAGGGAGGCAATTCTTACAAAGTGTTCTGTGGTGATTTCAGTGTTTTAGATTGCAGGATCAGTGAAACGTGGAAACTTTTGTGGCATGAATTAACTCATTCATTTATACTCTTGAACACATACATGTGTAGCAGTATAGTCAAGATCTTGCATTAGACAACTGAAAACAAACTTTAAATAACTTTTATCTTTCCTTTACAGTCTGCACCCTCCCTGTTTCTTAAAAGCAATTTTGAGTACTTAAGGGGCAATTATCGAAAAGCTGTGAAGCTATTAAATAGTTCAAACATTGCTGAGCATCCAGGATTCATGAAAACAGGTAAAAGAAAATTGTAAAATTTTAGGGTTTTTTTTTTTCCTGACAGATCAACCCCGTATTGCTTAGGTCCTGAGGCTTCTCCACAGTGATTTTTGTTCATTTTTAAATGAAAATGTTCTAAGCCAAGCATGGTGTCACATGTCTGTAATCCCAGCACTGAGAAGATGGAAGCAGAAAGACCTTGAGATTGAGTGCTGCCTTTCAAGACCCTGTCTTAAAACAGCTGCTAAGTTTTAATACTTCTCCTTGCAGAAAGTTCCTGGAATTTTAACTTATAAATTGTTTCCACATTACAGGATGCTGCATTACATCTGTAACTTTTTTCTTTGCCCTTCCCCCCACCCCCTCTTGTGTGTGAGTGTGTGTGTGAGTGTGTGTGTGAGTGAGTGTGTGTGTGTCTGTACACATGTACACGCAGTCACTTTCTGCCTTGTTTTTTGAGACCTGGAGCACACTGACTTGGTGAGACCAACTGCCCAGCAAACTAGGAATTTTCCTGTCTCAGCCTGGCCAGAGCTGGGATTACAGGTGTACACTGTCACACTTGGCTTTTCACATGGGTGCTGGAGATCTGAACTCAGGTCCTCATGCTGCATGGCAAGGACTTTACTGAACCATCTTCCTAGCCCCTCATTTTATTTAATACTCATTTAGAAATTATGCCTGCATCATGAGGCCTTTGTGATGTGAGACCTTTTCAAGAGGATGAGATGATACTTTTTCTACTTTCTCCCATAAAAGCAGGGAATGATACAGTGATTTCTGTAGACTTAGGAAGATAATTATTATTGCTTACTTTTGCCACTAGTCATAAATGAATAGTTTTATTTGTGGTGAAAGAAAAGTATAGAGGCCAGGGATATGGTTTGACCATTAGCTGTACAAGCTGATAACTCAGGTTTAATCCCTGGGACCTAGTTAAAAAGCTAGATTTGATGGTACACATCTGTAATCCCAGCACTCCTGTGGTGAGATGGGACATGGAGACAGAAGAATCACCTGGAAGCTCCCAGGTCACTACCCTGGAGTATGCAACACAGCAGAAGCAAGAGAGACCCTGCCTCAATGAAGTAGAAGGCCAGAACCAACTCCTAAAAGTGGTTTCTGACCTCCACCCATGTGCCATGTATACACCTGCACTATCACACAGACATAAAAGTTAAAGAAAGGTGTAAATTGTGATTGACATGGTTCTTGTCATTGCTGTTTTATGGAGAAGAGGGAAATCAATTACAAGAAATGAGGACAACCAGGCATGGTGGTGCATAACTATAATCCTAGCATCTAGGAAGTGGAGGCAGGATGATCGGGACTTTAAGGTCAGCCTTGACTACATAGCAAATTTGAGTCTACCCTGGGCTACATGAGACCCTGTTTCCTCAAAAAAAAAAAAAAAAAAAAAAAAAAAGTGAAGATAAACTATTAAATGTTGTAACAGGTCAGGTATGGTGGTGCATGCCTTTAATCTCAGCACTCAGGAGGCAGAGGCAAGAAGATCTCTTGAGTCTACGCAGGGAGTTCCAGGCCAACTGGGACTACAGGGAGACCCTGTCTCAGAAAAAAAAATAAATAAATAAAGAGAAAATGTTGTAACAAAGAAAGCCAGGGATGGTGGCATACCCTATAAGCCTACTCTAGATGCTGAGACAGGAGGATCACAAGTTGGAGGCCATCCTGAGCTACAAGCTGGCCATGAACACAGCTGTACACAGCTTTAATCTCAACATTTGGGAAGGCAGGTGGATCTCTGTGATCCACTTGATTTACGTAGGGAATTCCAGGCCAGCCAGGGCAACATAGGGAGAACCTTTCTCAAAATTAAACAGATAAACCCAGGAAAGCCAGGGATGGTGGCATACCCTATAAGCCTACTCTAGATGCTGAGACAGGAGGATCACAAGTTGGAGGCCATCCTGAGCTACAAGCTGGGCATGAACACAGCTGTACACAGCTTTAATCTCAACATTTGGGAAGGCAGTCAGGTGGATCTCTGTGATCCACTTGATTTACGTAGGGAATTCCAGGCCAGCCAGGGCAACATAGGGAGAACCTTTCTCAAAATTAAACAGATAAACCCAGTGATTCACCTGGGTATTTTTGTTTTGGATTCATATGCTGGGGAGCTTTGTTCCAACACGAATAATACCTAACGGCAGAAAGCTTCCAAGTCTCAAGTCTAGAGCAAGCATTGAGAAGCAGTGGTAGCTCCTTAGTCTTAATAAAACAGTCTTAATTCTTCACTATTTTCTAAAGTGTCTAAAATTGGAAAGAGAGAGAGATGATCAGGGGTCTCTTTAGTGGAGCTGGATGCTGTACATATAGAGTCCCCATGAGTCTCTATATACGGTATATACCTCTGTATAAGTGTATATACTCTTGATTGACTTCATACTCAATATTTTTAAAAGCTTGTAAACTGCAAAAATTCAGCAATGCAAATGATTTCTGTCTACAGCAATGCAAATGAATTCTGCATGCTGGCAGTAGAACCCAGGGCTTTGCATACACACTAGGCGAAGCTCTACCATCGAGCTACATTCCCAGCTCTTTTTGTTTTATTGTTCTTTTGAGACAAGGTCTGTTATGTTGCCCAGGTTGGTCTTGAGCTTAAAATCCTCCTGCCTCCTGAATGCTGGGATTAAGGACACATACCTTCAATTCCAGCTTGTAAATGAATTTTGTTTGACAGAGAGTATCAATTTCTAACATTCAAATTCTCATTTTTTTTTTTTTTTTTTTTTTTTTTAATTTCATTTTTGTTTTGTTTTTTGTTTGTTTTCTTCAAGGTAGAGCCTTGCTATACAGTCTTGAACCTCTGTCTTTGCCTTTCTATCTGTGGTGGGTCAAACTAGAGTCTGATGCATGCTAAACAGGTTTCTACCACCAAACTAAATTACCAGTCCCTTTTCTCTTTTTTCATTATTATTGCCTCATTTAAAACTGTTCTATCAGAATACAACCTTTAGTATTAAACAGTAAATAGCCTTATTTGTCATTCTAATCTGGTACTTTGTATTGTTAGGATAAAGTAGGGAGTACTAATTTGGAATTTATTTATTTATTTATTTATTTATTTACTTATTGGTCTTTTTGAGACAGAGTCTCCCTGTATCCTCTGACCTGGAACTCACTTTATAGACCAGATTGGCCTCAATCTCATAAAGATCCACCTGTCTATGCCTACCAAGTGCTACTATTAAAGACACCCCCCCCATCCCACTTAGACCAAGCTGCCTTTGAACTTGCTGCATAACCAAAGATGATCTTGAACTTTGATCCTACTGGCTTTATCTCTCAGGTGCTAAGATTACCTGCTGCCACCTTGCCTGGCCTGACTTCAGTAAATTTTTTTAATTTTGTTTTGCTTTATTTTTATTTTATATGTATGAGTGTATTGTGTGCATGTATACAAGTGCACCCATGTTATGCAGGGCCGCAGAAGTCAGAAGAGGGGGTTGGATTCCCCGGAACTAGAGTTACAGAAGATTGTTAGCAGCTGCCATGTGGGTGCTGGGAATTGAACCCAGGTCCTCTGCAAGAGCAGCTAGTGCTCTTAACTGCTGAACCATCCCTCCAGCCCCACAGTAAATTGTTTTCAAATGCATAGGGACCTATTCAGAAAATGAAAGCTAAGCTTGGATTACTTTCATTACACCAAAGTAAAATTTAGAGAAAGGCTTGAACTTATAATAAAAAAACAAAAACAAAAGAAAACTTGAATGAATATTTTATTTTTGTAACAAAGAAGTCTTTAATTGAACATTACCCCAAATCCTGGTACCATAGAGTTTGGTTTATCTTTATTTTATGTGTATGAGTGCTTTGCCTGCATGGATGTGAGTGTACCCGTGTCGTGTGAGGTCAGAAGATCCTCTGGAACTGTAGTTACAGGTGGTTCTGAGCCACCATATGGGTGGTAAGAACTGAACCCAGATCTTCTGCAAAAGCAGCCAGTGCTCCTAACCATTGGACCATCTCTTTAGCCCCAGAAATGTTTGGAGTTTTTTGTGATTAAAAATATAAAGATAGCCAGGGGTAGTGGCGCATGCCTTTAATTCCAGCACTCAGGAGGCAGAGGCAGGTGGATCTCTTGAGTTCAAGGCAAGCCTGGTCTACATAGTGAGTTCCAAGCCAGCTGGGGCTACAGAGAGAACAAAAGCAGGATTTTATATACTCTGTTCTGTTCGGTACATTCTTCCTATTATTCACTTAATATATTTTAGATAGTTTCATGTGTGCATGCATGCATATATCCAACACAAGACTTTGTACATGCTAAGCAGACTCTACCATCGAGCTAAACCCCAGCCTCCAAGTTTAATATTTGCTTCATTGTTTTCAGTTTGTACACTATTTCACTGTGGATATAAGGCATATAAGGTTATAAATTTTTTTGTCATTTGCCTATGGTTACTAAAAATTACATCAAAAAGTTAAAGTGGTTTTATAATAATTTTAACTGCCAGACATGTCTGCATCACCCTGTCCAACCCCCACCCTGTAATTCCATTGTTTTAGAGACTGAGGTAGGAGATGCTCAAGGCCAGTCTGGGCTACATAGTGAATTCTGGGTCATCTTGAGTTACATATGAAAGGCTGTCTTAGAAAAACAAGAATAATTATGATGATAATTTTATCCTCTTCAGTAAAAGATTTTAAAAGTTTAAAAAATTATAGATCGATCCGCCGGGGGCCTCTGAGCCCAGCCAGCCCCCATTGCCTGTTGCCTGCACGGCCACACCGTGGATCACCTTGACAAAGCGGCGCTGAACGTGCTGCAGCCACTGGAGTTCAGGAATGAAAGCTCATTGGCGTCAACCCTAAAGACTGTCCTGTTCTTCACAGCTTTAATGATCACCGTTCCTATTGGGCTATATTTTACAACGAAATCTTACGTATTCAGAGGTGCCCTGGGAATGTCCAACAGAGACAGCTGTTTTTATGCCGCAATCGTAGCAGTTGTGGTTCCTGTCGTTCTCGCCCTGTTTGTCTATGTGGCCTGGAATGAAGGCTCACAACAGTGGCGTGAAGGCAAACAGGATGAAAGTGAACCTCACCTTTTGATAGCATGACTTTATTTTTAAATAAGTACTTCTGGGGGATTGTTAATAATTTTATTTTATTTGAATAAAATGAAAGAACATTAAAATCATTCAGGGAGTCAGTCACATTTGACTAAACTTTGGCCCACTTAATTAATTTTAACTTTGAATCTCCATTTGCAAATAAAAATTTGAGAAAGATAGGTACAAATGCAAATGCTAAGTGAATTATATCTTATCCTGTGAAGAATTTAATCCTTACAATAAAAGTCTTTTATAGCAATTTGCCTTGTAGTTACTTTTCAGTTTTATTCCTTTGGATGTATTAAGAAACACAGTGAAGCAAATCTCCATTTCCTTCTTCACTAGAAGACTTTCCCTCTCAGAAAAGTATCAGGTTCTTGGATTTCAGATTCTAATTTCCTATGGGAAGTTGCTTAAATTGTGAACAGTGTAATTAATCTGAATGTCACTGAGTAAGGATAAATCTCACATTCTGGAATTTAATGGGGAAACTTGCTTAAATCACACCCATTCATGTAAAAGGACTTAGGGTTTACTGAGGGCCAAGAGATGAGCTCACTGCCAACTTTGTGACTAACACAACAATATTGCTTCCTCATTCTGCTTTGAAATTAAGCTTCAGTTACAAAATTTATTGAAATTCCTTTAAAATTTTTCCTACTTAATAAAACATAATATGTGATAGGTATTAGAATATCAAAGTGTTCAGTTTGCATGCATTGAGAGTGAAACAATTTTGAAATCAGACCTACTGTTCTTGTCTTTTTCATCAGAGCTAAGACACATCCTATATTTATGGACAATCCTTGAAGTCTTTTTTTATGAGAACTCCTCCCCTAAAAATAAAATAGTCCTCTGACCTTTCTTCAGTACCTTTAAACTTTGGTCAGACCCACCCCTGGACACTATATATATATGCAATCTAAAAACAGCTGTCCCCCAAATTTTTATTTCTCACTAGAAAATCATATATGTTCTGTAAAACACTAGAAAAATCCATATTAAGACAGAAAGAAAATAAAAATTGCTGGCCTGGAATTCGCTATGTGGACCATACTGGCTTGGAGCTCACAGCCATAATGTTGCTACCTGAAGATAATCACTATGTTAGTTTACAACCTGTGTGTAGTTTTGACAGGTGTTTCCCGATGCTACTTCCAGAAACACTGAAACCCTGGTTTAAGTTCAAACTCTGCCAACTTTACCAGAGAACTGTTTACAAGTTTTCAAATATATGGTTTCTGGCCATTATCTTAAAAAGCACATTGCTTCTGTATTCTTCTAAAATTCAAATTTCAGTTGTTTTCACCAAAAAGAAATGATAATTGAACAGATAACTCAATTTGAATATTGCACAACGTGTGCATATATCAAAAAATTATAAAGCATCCTATAAGAAGTATGTATGGTTCTTATGTTTTTATATATCAGTTAAAAATAACTAAAAGTAAATTCAAATAACTTGTTTCTGATTATCCTAATACAAAGGCCCTTGCTTATATGTTTGCCATGATTGATTCATTTCTCCAAAGTTACTTTTTATCCTATGGAGCTAGACTGAATAAAGATGATTAGGCATAAGAGACATATATGCATTTCTGCTATTGCTAAGCAAAATAATAGATCAGTATGATTATTACAGGATTGTTCTTAATTATATTTCATTGTTGTGTGTAGTTTAAATATCTTTAAGCAAGTATTCTAAATATAAGGTTCTTTGTTTTGTAAAGAATCTTTTAATTATGATATTTGAGTCTTGAATATCGTGTAGTAGATTTCTGGATAGTTCCTTCATCAGGTGGCCTGTTGTAGTTAGAATTGTCTGCTCAGTTTCTTTTTATATAATGCCAAGGTTTTTTCTTGTACTTTGGAGATCTTGTGCTATTTGTAAAAGATATTTTGGGATTATTTTGTTTGATTTCAGACATTTGCTAGTTAGGTAGTGATACAACTATTTTTCTTCAAGTGTTTCAACCAAGGATACATGCAAACAAGTCATTTTCTCTTGGGAATAAAGTACAAGTGTTTGAATATTAAAAATTAGATGGTCAGATTCATATTCAAGATTATTACAGAATAGCCTTGTTTTCTAAGAATTTTACCCAGGATTTTAGCTATGAACTTAACCATTTTACTGCTGTTAACTATGTTAGTTAATGTGATATTTGACAAATGGACACATTTTTCAAGATATCTTATTAGTTTCCTCTGGCATAAAGTACATATGATGTATTGGAAGGGAAAGCTACAGTTAAACTGTTAGGTTTTACAGTAGGAATATGGTCACTGATGTTTAAAAACTGATTGTAATAGTAATCTGAATAAGGGAGTACAACTCCAAGTGTCAATACAATCTACTGAATTAACCCCATTTACTGTAACAATACCTTCCCCACCTCCTAACTTGTTCCCTGAATAAGCTCCCGCTCCCCACCACTGTTGAAAAATGGAAGTTTGCTATACAATGCATCTGATGTCATTAGCTCGCTCTTCAAATGGATACCATTTCACATGTGACAATAGCATTCTTGTTTGTGTTCATAGTAAAGAATTTTAAACCTGCAAAAAAAAAAATTATAGATCATGCTTCATGAACTGTCCTGTAGAGACTAAGTGAAATCGAAAATAGAATTCACTAAAGATAAATAGGTCTAATTTTTGTATAAGGGACAAATCAAGAACAAAGTTTTTCTGTGGACAAATTGTTTTTTTTCAGGTGAATGCTTGAGGTGTATGTTCTGGAATAATCTTGGTTGCATCCATTTTGCCATGAGCAAGCACAATTTGGGGATTTTCTACTTTAAGAAGGCTCTGCAGGAAAACGATAACGTCTGTGCCCAGCTCAGTGCAAGTAGCACTGATCCAGGTAAGCTGGCACTGGGGACCATCTGCCATGTACTACTTGAGAGACACATGATACAGTGCACATGACATACAGTTACCACTGACCCTGCTCAATAGATTGGGCCCTGGAGATTGTTAGTAGCTATAACCATTTTGATGTTAGGGTGTTAAGAATAATTTTGAATTATCAAAAAATTAGGAAGCTGTGCATGGTGGTACACATCTTTAATCCCAGCATTCAAGAGGTAGAAGCAAGTGAATTTCTGTGAGTTTGAGAATAACCTGGTCTACATAGTGATATCCTTGCCAGCCAAGGCTACATATTAAAACCCTGTCTCAAAACAAAGGCTAGGGAGATAGCTCAATACTTAAACCACTTGCTATGTAAGCAAAGGACCAGAGTTCAGATCCCCAGAACCCACATAAATGCTGCATAGATATTTTGGCTCACCTGTAATTCCATCCTTGAAATGCAGAGATAGGAGATCCCTCAAGCAAGATAACTAGTGAAGCTAGCCATATCGATGAGCTCTGGGTTGAGAGACCCCGTCTGAAAAAGTAAGGTAGAAGAGTGATCGAGGAACAGTCTAGACAACAACTTCAGGCCTCCACACCCACATGCACATACTTGCATCCATGCACATGTAACACAGAAACATGCACAACACACACACACACACACACACACACGGAAAGAAGAAAAAACAAAAAACTAAGCTGCCTTCAATTTGTCACGGATTTGAATCGGTAGTCCTGCATGGCAGTGTCTTCAGCCATTTCTAATTAGTCATCGAGAGTTCTTGCTCTCAGGCCAGCATCGTTAGGAATCGTTTACAGAGTTTTACATGTAATGCCATGGCAACATCTGATAATCTTCAAGCAAATTCCTGAAGTTTTGAAGTTTATCATTTAATATTCAAATTACATGGATCCTTGATCTGAAATGCTTAAAATCAAGCAATTTTTTTTTTCTTTTTCAGAGCTGAGATCTGAACCCAGGGCCTTGCGCTTGCTAGGCAAGCACTCTACCACTGAGCTAAATCCCCAACCCCAAAATTTTTTTATTTTTATTAAGATAATAAAACAACAGTTGAATTGGTGAAAAGTGTATTTTAAATTGCAAGTGGTCTTACTTGACTGACTCATTGAACAAGTGGCAGCACATGGTAATACCACAGTTGACAAAGCTGAAAACAGGGAAAGGTGCTGTAAGGTTCATGGGAGAGAGTGACATCACCTCAGTCTCTATAGAGCGACACTGCCTGAGGAACTGGCAGGGAAGCGGGAACATCTTTGTCCCACCAGCACAGACACCTGATAGGACTGGCAGATGTTTGGGTTAGGCATGAAGACTACCCTTGGTGAGCCATTACAATTTCAAATTGTGGTTACTGATATTAAACATGGTAGTGTTTAGTTAGGAGAATAAATGTTTTCAGTGTAGCCATTTAATCATCTATTCTCCAATTTTTATCACTAGGCAAAAAATTTTCTGGAAGACCCATGTGTACCTTACTAACCAACAAAAGATATGAGCTGCTGTATAACTGTGGAATTCAGCTTCTTCACATCGGAAGGCCTCTTGCTGCCTTCGAGTGTCTTATTGAAGCTGTTCAGGTTTATCACGCAAATCCCCGCCTTTGGCTACGACTGGCTGAATGCTGCATTGCTGCCAATAAAGGAGTGAGTGCTGCTTGGGTATCTTTTTGAACCCTATCTCTCTTCTCTAACACTTGTTACATGGAAAGCCAAACTACTTGCGCACATAAAACTTCATTTTCTCTTTCTCCATCATTGAATTTATATTCTTCTGCTAACAGGAGTGGATTTTAGTTTCAAAAAACCGTTTGCTGTCGTTAGAGAGCTGACTCAGTGGTTGAGAGCACTTACTGTTCTTGCCTGGGTTCAGTTCCCCAACATCCACATGGTGCATGTAAATAAAATCTTTGTTATTTGTGTGTGTGTGTGTTTGAGACAGGGTCTCCCTATAGCCCCAGCTAACCTGGAACTTGCTATATAGACCAGGCTGGACTTGCTCCCACAGAGATCCGCCTGTCTCTGCTTCCTGAGTGCTAGGACTAAAAGTGTGCCACCACAGACAGCTAAGTAAAATCTTTTTTTTTTTTTCTTTAATTAAAAAAAATTTTTTAGCCCGGCACTTAGGAGGCAGAGGCAGGCAGATCTCTGTGAGTTCAAGGTCAACCTAGTCTACATAACAAGTTAAAGGCCAGCTGGGGCTACAGGGAGACCCTGTCTCAGAAAAAAAAAAAATTAAAAAATTAAAAAAAAATTTTATTTAACATTTTTATTTTATGTGTATGCGTGTATTGCCTGCATGTAGGTTAGTGCACTGGTGTCATGCAATGCCCTCAGAGGTCAGAAGATGCTGTCAGATCCCCTGGGACTGGAGTTACAGACAGTTGTTAGCTGCCATGTGGGTGCTGGGAGTCAAACCCAGGTCTTCTGTAAGAACAACCCATGTTCTTAACTGCTGAGCCATCTCTCCAGTCCCTCAAAGAAATTTTTAAATCTTGTTTATGAGTGTCTTGCATGCATGTTTGTAAGTGTACTCATGTCATACAAAGCCCACAGAGACCATAGGGGCCATTGGATCCCCTGGAACTGGAATTACAGAGGGCTCTTAGCTGTCGTGTGAGTGTTGGGAATTGAACTCAGGTCCTCTAGAAGAGCTACTAAGGCTCTTAACTACTGAGCCATCTCTCCAACCCCACAGTAAAATCTTTTAAAACAAAAAACAGGCTCATTTGATTAGATCCAATTCTTAGCAAAGAATTAAAGTCAGTGAGAAGACTATCTGTTGGAATAGTAATCAGCTCACTCTGGCCAGGGCCATGCCATGTGCAAGTGTGAGGTTGGTATGTGTATACCAGGTCATTAAAGGACAGAAGTACATAAATGGCATTTCCTTCAATGCAGTAAATGATAATATTATTTTACTTGCTCTTTCTCTCTGACACATTTGTCCATGAAACTAGATCAACTTGCTTAGTTCTTATCTCCTGGCCTCTTTGGGTAGAGGCCTTTTAAATCCTGAGTTGAGAGAGGTTAGTGGAAAGTATGGATAATCAGAATATCTGTATTCCCCACCTTTTCCCCTGTTGTCTAGGTATGTGAAGATTGGGGCACTGTGACTTCCTGAGGCCCTGTGTGCCTGCCTGCCATAGGTAGGATGTTGAAGCTCTTCACTAAGCCATGCTTTCTAAGAAACAGGGTTTAAAGAAGCATGTGTGCATGGTAGTGTTTCACTCAGTACTTAAATAGTTGAGGATTTGAGTATGACAGGGAGAAAGAGACAAAGTATGGGGCTTTTGGGGTTTTGTTTGCTTGGTGCTGGGGTCAAACTGAAGGCCTTGTGCACAACAGAGAAGCACTCTACCACTGAGCCCTGTACCTTGGTTGGTTGCTGAGACAGGGTCTTACTATATATAACTCTGGCTGACCTGGAACTATGTAGACCAGGCTGGCCTCAAATCTTCTTCTGCCTCTAGAGTGCTGGGATTAAAGGTGTACAACCATGCCTGACCTCTGCTTTGTTTTTAAAAAAAGAGAATTCCAGTGGTAAGGGTAGGAGAATCAATAGTTCTAGGTGAGGTCATCCTGGGCTACTTGAGTCAAAATGAAGTGTGGTTACTCATACCTTTAATCCCAGCACTGGGGATACTGAGGCAGACGGTTTTCTGTGCGTTAGAGACCATCCTAGTCTATATAACCAGATTCAGTGCAGTTGGGACTACAGAAAGACCCTGTCTCAAAAACAAATGAGGCTGAAGAGATGGCACTGCGGTTAAGAGCACTGACTGCTCTTGCAGAAGACCCAGGATTGCTTCCCAGGCAGGAACTCTCATTGCAGCTAACTCTGGCCTGTTACTCCAGTTCCAAGGGATCTGAAGCCCTTTTTCTGACCTCCACGGGCATTGTATGAATATGAATGCACTTACATAAAATTTTTTAAATTAAATATTTAAAAAACAAATGACAACTTTGTTATTGTTATTTGTGGGTTTTGTTAACTAATAAAAAAATTCTAGGTAAAATTTATACTTGTTAAGAAAACTGTTGATGATTAAATATTTAAAAAACAAACAACAACTTTGTTATCTGTGGTTTTTTTTTAACTAATAAAAAAAATTCTAGGCAAAATTTATACTTCTTAAGAAAACTGTTGATGATTAAATATTTAAAAAACAAATGACAACTTTGTTATTGTTATTTGTGGGTTTTGTTAACTAATAAAAAAATTCTAGGCAAAATTTATACTTGTTAAGAAAACTGTTGATCTGTGCTGGGGACTTGAGAGATGGATCAGTGGTTAAGAGAGCTCGCTACTCTCCAGACAACTGGTGCTCAGTTCCTAGCACTTGGTTT